ATTATTATTATTATTATTATTATTATTATTATTATTTATTATTATTATTTGTTATTATTATTTATTATTATTATTTATTATTATTATTAATGCCGTTGTTGTTGCCATTGTTATTAATATTAATGTTGCTGTTATCGTCATTACTAATGCCACTATTATTACTTATTACTATTCGCTATTATTATTTATTGTTATTTATCATCGTTCTTTATTATTTATTATTACTCACTATTTGTTATTGTTTGTTATTATTTATTTTTACTTATTATTGTTTGTTATTATTGTTTGTTAATCTATTATTGTTTATTACTATTTGTCGTTACTAATTATTATTGTTAATATCTTTACAGCAATATTATTATAGCTGATATTTTCATGATATTAAGCATACGCTTGGTAATAATGTCTCACAAAACAGTAATGCAGATCAACACCACGTTTTCTTGTTGAGAAATTCACAACGACTGATTGCGTAATGCGGATCAAGAATGGCGATGAAGGGCATGGAGAAGAACGAGTTGTGGGGTGGGAGGTAATGGATTCGAAATCGCTCTCGGCAAAAATTTTTAATTTGACAGCGATGCTCGTCTTGCGATCTGACCTGGAAGAGGGCATCGCGGGGAGCACTGCTCACTTCAGTCCTGACAATGCTATGATAACTTAATAATTCTGCGATGTCACAGCTGAGTTTGATAAAATGATTAGTTGGGACTGAAAACAACTGGTGGCAAGACTTGTAACTGGAAAGTTACGGCCTTTGGTATTAGTTTCGCACTTGGTCCCAAGGTTGTCTTGGTTTGCATCCTATTGGCTGATTCCTGGCATCAAACGCTTTAACACAGTTATACTTCACGGTTCCTATAAGCCTGCAGCCAGGGCTGAGGTTCAAAGCAATCACAAGCACTTATTTCGAAAATTCCTGGCATAAAATATGTCTAACAGTAACAGATAATCTTAGGCCTGTGTGAAAGCCGAAACATTAATCCAAACATTCTAAATTAGCAAATGAATTCAGTTTTCACAAGTATCTTCACGAAAGTTTTCACAAGTATGCGGAAGTTTTCACAAGTACGCGAAAATTTTCACAAGTATCTTCAGCTTTCATCAAGTTCGCGTCAAAATCAAGGCACCTAGTTATTAATATTCTGA